CCTTGTGCGCCCCCCTCCCCCGGTCTATCCGCAGCATCACCAGCACCCCCGCCTTCCAGTTCCTCCACCTTCCCGCAGTTGCCAAACCTTGGGTTTCCTCATCTGAGGGACCCAGGCTTTTGAGGGTCTCCCATCCTCCCAGGGTGAAAGGACCGCTAGATCCTATGTGTGACCCCAGAAAGAGCTGCCTCTGCAGCCCCAGGCTGGCCCCTTCCAACACTGGTTATCTGTAGAGGGTAGTCCCCAGGCCCTTTCCATCCCCCACTCCCACCTGCCAGGGACAGGTGGGCTAGGAAGTTGTTGGGCCCTGGAGGACCAGCCCAGAGGCTTCAGCCATCTGATCTTCTTCAGGAGGCGTCCCTGGCCCCTTCTGCTCTGGGGTACAATCCCCCTAACACCAGCAACAACAACTATTGAGAACTTACTGCACATGCTTTACAATTGACCCATTGACCTACAGGGGCAGGGATGTATGGAGGGAAACTTATCAGAGGTGAGTGGCCTAAAAACCACAGACCCCAATGTTCTGGTAATAGACAGGAGCAGCCCCTCATCAGCCCTCAGGGGCAGAACCAGGCACTGTCCCCTCTCCCTGAAGACACCTTGCTGAGGCCAAGAGCCTGTCTGGGCACCAGACTCAGAGTCACCCCAAACTATCCCACCCTTTTGGGGCCTCATTTTCCTGCTGTTTTAAGCAGCAGGAACATGTCCTCATAGGAAGGCTCTCCTAGACTTGACTACAGTCCAGAACCCTCCCAGCACCCCCACCCATGAGCTTGGAGCTGTTTGGTCCTGGTTTACAGAGTAGAAAATGAGTGGACAGCCTGTGAGACAGTCTCACAAGGGAGAAGTGTCCAGGGCCATGGAGGCTCCCAACCCAGCCATGTGACAACCCAGAGGACCTCCGGGGTATCCCCTCCTCTGCCTCCCCCTTACCTCAGCTGGGCCTAGAGAAGCTGCAGGAGGCTCAGAACCTGGGCGTCTCTTAGGATGGGGGATTGTGAAGGGCCTCACCCCTGCCCAGGCTGCCCAGCCCAGCCGCACCCTCCCTGCCTGCCTATGACTGATTATGGGACTGGGACTGGGGCACCTGGTGGGAGAGTCTGCCTGGGTAAGTGCTGGCAGCTGGCCCAACACGCCAAAGATCTCCAGGTTTCAGCTGCTGGCCCCAAAGCTCAGGCTTCCTGAGTGGACGTGGGAGTGGTGAGTGCTGGGGCACAGTGAACTGGGGCATGGAGAGGACCCAACTTTGGAGGCTGGGAGGCAATTGATTTGTGGCTGCTGACCAAGTATGAATTCTCTCCAAGAAGAAGACAGGAGGCCAGTCCAGGGCCTGGCCCACTAGGTGCTCAGCAAATGTGCAGGATCAGGAAGGCATGGCTGGCATCCCTAGAGCACCCTACCACCCTGAATCTTCCTCTCATGGTGGTCTGTGGACCTGGGGGTTGGACCCATGCACAGTGAGGGGGCTGCTGCCATCTGAGTCCACCTGGTCAGGCTATGAGTGTTACTGGTACATCTTGATGTAGACATCCCCTGCATGCGTCACCATGAGCTGGCCCTGGGCACACAGGCCATAACCAAGGGCCACCCCAACCCCTCGAACACCAAGCAGATGGGTGTCCCAGTCCATGGAAAGGGTCAACCTGGCACTGCTGCTTGTCTGCCACTATAACATTACCCTCCGAATCAGTGCTTATACCTGCCAAGCTTCCAAAGGCAGGGCCTGTCAGGCCCCTAGGGAGCCCAGGGGCTGGCAGGCACTACCGAACAGCTGAACATCCCCAAACTTCTCACTCGTGACAAAGCCCCTATTAGACCCCAGGCCCACCCAGCAGGACCCCTCTGGACCCAGCATGGAGGCTGGGGCCAGCAGCTCCAAGGTGGGGCCCAATGTAAAGCTGTGTACAGCCCTAGGCACATAGTCTGTTACCAGGAAGCGGCCAATGGCATCCACAGCCAGCCCCCAAGGGGCCAGGAAGGTGCCCACCATCACCCAGTGGCCTTGGGGCACTCAGGAAGTGTGCTGGACTGTGTGGACAGCCCGGTGGACAAGGTCACTGACCACCATGAGCCCAGAAGCTGTCACAGCCACATCCTCTGGCACGAAGTCCCTGACCCCTGGTACTCGGCAGGGCAGGTGGCAGACAGAGCATCCCTCAAGGTCCAACACATAGATTCAGGGAGCAGCCCTAGCTGTCAGGAAGAGTAGGCCATCCGGGGAGCAGTGCAGACCTTGGGGCCCCCTCCAGCCCCTGCAAGCACCGGGATCTTCCTGAGCACCAGGAGTAAGCAGTCTTCAGGCTGGTCCAGAGTAAGATGAAGGCCCTGGGGGGCAGCTGGCTAGCTGGTGGGGAAGCCCAGGAGGTCAGAGCAGGAAGCCAGAGTGGGGAGCTCAGCCTCTCTGAGGCAAGTTACTATGGTTGGGCCAAGTTTGGGGCTGCTGGAGAAAGAATGTCCCACTGTGTGCCAAGCAGCAGCTTCCTTGGTTCCCCTGTGCCCTTCCAGGCAGTTCCGGTGTTCTCCTGTTTTACAGATGAGGCAACTGAGGCACAAGGGTGGGGTGTGAGGTGTGGAAGCTGGATTCAAACTCAGTTCCACCAGGTCCCAATTCTGGTTCAGGCTGCAAACCTAGCAGCCAGCTGTGTCTCTAGGTCCTATTTTCCCAGATGTGATCCCTGGAATACAATTCTGGGAGACATGGACCCATGAAGGTTGCTGTGGGTTTTGCTCTGAGGCCCGAATGAGCCCAAGAGCATTAGATGTTCCAAGGTGGGGGCAGGGGTGGCAGATGAGTGTTTCTCAAACGCATCTGCCCATGAAACCCTTCCTTCCTGTAGGCAGGGAAAGTGACCCTTCCTGGGAAATGCCCGAGCACCTGCCCATTGGTCCCACGCAGTCCCTGGAGACTTCCAACCCCTGAGGGATGGGGCGGGGGGCCTGTCCTAAGCCTCTCCACCTGCCCTTACCCAGGGAGGCCAGTGGGAAGGGTCTCCTACCTGGGCCCTGCTCCAGCAGCAGCCTCTGTTCTTGGAAACTAGAGCCTGAGGGAGCGGGAGGAGCCACCTTGACATGGGCAAAAAAGGAGCGCGCAGGAGGAGCCATTGGGCCTTATGGAGGCCTGACATTCAGCTGCTAAGCCCAGGGACTCCCCAGTGCTGCTACATTCCTGCCTTGGGGCTTTTGCACTGGTCTCTGGGACATTCTTCCTGCTGCTCCTGCTTGGCTGGATGCCGACCCCTCTCCAGGGAGGCCCCTACAGCCGTCCCCACCCCACACTCCTCTGCAGTATCAGTCACGGGCTCATTCTTCAGAAGGCTCTGGGCAAATATCTGCAGATGAGGTGGCCCCACCCACCATCCGCCAGCAGGACCAGCGTCCAGGGTGGAGGACACCCAGGGGTCCATCTTGTCACCCACCCCGAGACTGGGCAGGTTGGGTCCTCTCTCGGGTGCCATTCCTGAACCTGTGAAACTGGGGTGATCTCCCCCCACAGGGCCAGGCTCACATCTGCCCTGTGGGTGATGAGAAATCAGGGAGCAGCAGACACGACACCTGCAGGTGCCGATGGGATGGGAGGCTGAGGGCTCAGGGGTTGTCTGGACACTTCCTAGCTCAGCCCACAGCCCCCTGCAGCTTCTCTGGGAAGTCCCTGGAAGGCGGATGGCCAGCTCTGCCTGAGACTCACAGCTCTCCCCACCTGGCTGCCTGCACCACCCTCTCTGGACACTGGCTCTTAACGCCCCTTGGTGGGGAGGGCGCCTGATGCTATCTGCTGCCGGGTGCAGTTAATGGGGCAGCCACAGGTCCTGCTCCGACTGGCCCCAGCCCGGTTAACCCAGCTTGGGGGAGCCAGGCGCAGATAGGAACTGCCTTCCCCAGGGCCATTCCTAAGTAGGCACAGAGGTGTGGCCAACTCCCAGGGAGAGAGGTGATTAGCTGGGCCCAAGGGTCCCCTGGGAACCCCTCTCTACCTGCCCCCTACCCCCTTCTATGGGAAAGGCCAAGTCCGGCCGAGCCCTGCTGGGAGGGAGGCAGCGAGCTGTGAAGGCCACCCGATGCCTATCATGGCTGCAGGGGCTGGCAGGGGCCCAGTGGAGGCCACGCCGGGCAAGCAGCCCTGGGCCACAGAATGTGGGGAGTACCTTTTAAGCACAGCGGGAGCAGCCTCCAGCTGAATCTGACATTAGGGCTGCCCTGCCAGACACAGGGGCTGGAGGCGTGCCTGGAGGGCCCTGCCCACCACAAATGTGCTGAGACACAGGTCTGACCAGCCCCCTGGCCACATGCACCTGCCCCTCTTTGCTGTGCTCCTTCCGATGGAAAGCCCCCCACTCTATCCCCAGACTCTGCCCCTCCAGGGAGGGCCCAGTCTACAGGAGGCAGGTCAGGATCTGAAGGTGGACCCCTGGCAGGGAAGCCCAGGACACTGCCCACCCAGGCGTCCCATGGGGGCACATTTCCGCAGGGGGAAGGTGCCGCAGTGGTGGCAGTGGAGCAGCAAGGGAAAGAGGAGACTCAGGCAGGGTGTGTGAAGGTGGTTTCTATTTTAATGTCCACAGCTGTGATCAATAAAAAACCATGACTCTCTGTAGTCCCTGTGGGGCCCCAGAGACAGGCCACGGCCACGGTGGGTGGGATCTGTTTATGGGCATGCTGGGCAGGCTCCAGGCCTCGCCTCCGGGGGCTGAGGCAGGCAGGGGGTCAGGTGGTGGGTATGGGGTTGGGGAAGGGCCTCTGTTAGGGACAGAGGTGGCAGCAGGAGCTGTGGTCACACCTCGGCACCTGGGGAACTCTGCAGGCCAGAGACAGCCTCCAGGGCCCAGGAGCCCCCAGCTCTGCCACGGGGGCCCCAGCTACTGCCAGGAATGACAGGGTCGTCTGGGGCTTGGAGGGGGAGACCCGGGGGTGGGACGCTGGAGTCAGCCTCACACTTGGTGGTATGGCCAGAGAAAGGCTCAGCCACTGTGGGACCCAGCATTCTGGGTGGCTCGGGGGTTCCCCTGGCCAGTATGGAGCCCAGCTCTGGTTGCCCCCAGGACCCTGAGGACACCTCGGGTACCTTGGAGGGCGTCCGTTTCACAGAGAGGTCCAGCGGCATGTCTGGGGGCCGCACGGCCTGCTCTAGCACCTGGTGGATGGTGAGTAGCTCCCTGCGGATCTTGCCCAGCTGCTCCCGAAGAGGCCGGGGGGCCAGGCCCCTGGCAGGGGCCAACTGCCCCAGGCGCTGCTCCACCCTAGCATAGTCACCGAGGGCCCGTGTCAGGTCCTCGCACACATGCCCAGGGCCCCCCAGTACCAGGCCCGATGGCTGCTGGGGCAGGGGGGAAACAGAGCCCAGGGTCTCCGGGTCGCCTGGCTCCTTGTCGTCAGGCCAGAGAATCCTGGAGGGGCCATTCTGCAAGCTAGGGATTAGGAACTGGTCAGAAGGCTGTGCTGCCCCCCAGAACCCCCAGTTCCCCCAGGCTCTGCCCCACTCCCCCTCATGTCCCCTCTACAGTCTCCTCCATGGCCTAGAGACCCGGGACCCCAGAAGGACAGACAGGCTGGCTCTCTGGTCTCAGCATCCTCCCTGTGGCCTGAAGCCCATATTCCTGGATACTAAGTCAGGACAGGGCCCAGCCCTCCTCCTCCAACCTCAACCGCCGCCCCCTCCCCCACCACATGACTGGGGGACTCTGACACCTACCTGCTCTGGGAACCAAAGTTGGCCAAGCTGGAGGGGGCCTTCGGGCGCTCCAGCCTGCTTCCCAGGGGCAGCTTCCTCTTGAGATCACTCTGGGCAGCCAGCTCCAGTCCTCCCTCCTGCCCTGGATCCCTGGGGGCACTACAGGCCCAGGGCCCACCCAGCCCAGGTACTGGCACTTTCAGCAGCCCAGGGGCCAGAGTCCCAGGGGGTCCCTTGGGAGGGACAGGGGGCTTGGCAGGGGCAGCCTTGCCCGCCTGCAGCCCCAGGCTGTGCTCCAGGAGCAGAGGGTAGTAGAGGCGGGGGATAGGCGTGGGGCACTCGGGGGGCTGCAGGGCAGGGAAGGCGGAAGCTGGGGGAAGCAGAGGGCTGGCCGAGCCCAGGAAGGGCATATGGGCTGCAGTGGCCAGGGAGGGCCCCAGGTAGGAAAAGAGGCTGGGGCCAAGAGGGTAGTTGACTCCCAGCAGGGACAGCTGGAGGCTCTGCGCCTCAGGAAACTCGCTGGAGGTGGGTGGAGGGTAGCAGGGGACGCTGCTTTCAGGGCCCACTGCAGCCGAGTCTACCACAACCATGCTCCTGGGGCCCCTGCCCGGCCCTGGCTTCCACGACTCAGCCAGGAGCCCGCCAAGGCCCGCAGCCTTCTGGGCATCCTTTGCTGCAGGGGGTGGTGTCCCTGGGGACTCCTCAGCCTCTGGCTTGGGGTCCCCTACAGGGTGGTGCAAGGAGAGAACGTCAGTGACAATGAGGTTGGGCGTGGCAGGAGCATCTGGGAGCCGAGCCCCTCGGGGACGCCTGCCAGGTTCTGTGGGGTCAGGGGGGCAGTCCGTGGTGGACTCAAGGGGCCGGGATGTGGCAGGGGCGCTGCGGCATGCCCAGTCAGGGGAGTCAAGCAGCAGCGAGAGGGAGTCCTTGCAGAGGCTGTACTTCATGTGGTTGTACAGGTGCGACTTCTCCAGGCAGGTGAACGGGCACTGGAAGCACTTGTAATTGTAGGGCTTACCCCAGGGCCGCGGGATGTAGTGTGGCTTCTTGGGCTTTCTTGCCCGTGCCCTTGCCCCGGAGCCCAGGCGGCATGATCCTGCCACTTCTCGGGACATGGCAACCCGCTAGCGGACAGGCCACGGCACCATGGCCACCTGCAGACAAGGGGGCCTTCGTCAGTGCCTCTGTCGGCTCCCAGAGCTCCAGGGCTAGAAGCTGGGCATGGCACCGCCTCCACCCTGCAGTCTGGGCTTCCATGGCCTTTGCACACGAAGTCCCAACCTTAGAACGCTCTCCCCACCTCATCGTTTAGTTCCTCCCCAACACACTTCTAGGGTTTCCAGTGTAGCTGATAAAAATGCAGGATGCTCAGTTACATCTGACTCAAATAAATGACAAATACTTTTTTTAGTATAAGTATAATCTAGCCAATATTTGGAACATACTATAGAAAGTATTTGTTCTTTACCTGAAATTTAAATTTAACTAGGCATCCTNAGTATAAGTATAATCTAGCCAATATTTGGAACATACTATAGAAAGTATTTGTTCTTTACCTGAAATTTAAGTTTAACTAGGCATATTAACTGGATATTTTATCTCCACCTCAGGCCTGGCTAGCCCCCAGCAGGCCCAGTTCTAGGGTGATTCCATCCAGGCCTGTTTCTGTCTACCCAACGGGCATTGTTGAGTGACTGGAAGAAGCCAAGTATGACCAGGCCTGTTCCTGGGGGACATCAGCTCTTCCATGTCTTACTCCCCTCCAGAGATCCCCTGCCAGTGCCAGGAAGCTGAGATAAAAGCCACTGAGATGAGAAACCGGCAGAAGGCTCTGAATCTCTATGTGTGCATGCACGAGTGTGTGCTCCTGCTGGGTACTGGAGGTCTCTGAGGGGGTCAGCCTCACGTGGGGCTAGTCCAGGCTGGGGGGCGTGGACGTCACAGCATGGCCCCACAGCACAGCCACCTGCTCAGCCTGGCTCCATCTGGGTGGCTTCGGGCAGGTCAGCAGCCGAGCCTGCAGTTGCCGAGCTCGGCCAAGACCTTTTCCTCTCCCCATGCCCTGCATGTTCATTCAGAAGCCGCTCTGCACTCCATCTGGGCCACCACCTGGGCTGTCCACCACCCCGGTGTGTGCCTGCGTGGGGCGCAAGGAGAGTGTGTGCACACACGCTCATGAGGCTCTAGATGAGCCCTCACTCAGCGCCTGGAGGGACAAACTCTGCACAGCTGGGCCAACTCAGAACAGAGTGGACACCAAAATTCATGGGCCTGGGCACAAGCACACACACTCCAAGTGGACATGCTAACTGCATATGAATGCACTCACAGCACAGGCAGGGTGTGAGCAGGCACTCAGACACATTCAGCACAGTGTGCCCACACATACATACATACCACATACCCGAGAACACACATGTTCACACACTCTCATGGATGTGGACAGATACACTCATCCTGCTCCTCAGGGCTCAGGGATGGCGAGTGGGTTAAGCAGGGGGCTGGGGCAGCTGGGCAGCCACAGAGAGCAGGTTCTCCCTGCTGGCCTTCGGGCACTGCACATGGCAAGCAATCATGTCTGCTGCCCTCAAACACTGGGTGGCACCCCCTTTATGAGGACAGCCAGAGGGGTAGAGAAGGCTGTCCACCTGAAGACGCCCTTGAGAGGGAGGTCAGCATGGTCAAGGCCAGGACGTGGAAGGTAGGGCAAGCAGAGACTAGCTCACTGGTTTGTGGATGTCCACATCTGGGAAGGGATGGGGCTACAAGAGGGCTACAGGGGTTGGGAAGAAAGGGCTGGGCCCAGGAAAAGGCTTTGGGCTCCCCAAGAGGCTGCAGACCGCCCTGGACTTGGTGGTGGGTGTAGAGGCAGGCCCCATCCCAGCCCCCAGCCCCCCTAAGATACAGATGACAAATGGGCATGTATGCTGGGGAGATAGAGACGGCTGTGCTGGGGCCATCGATCACCCAGCCCTGGGAGCCACACAGCTGTGCCGCCTGGTGGCACCGCCCACCTCACCTCCAGCTCAGCCCCTGGACTGGGGGGGGGGTCTTCTCCTAGGCCCCAGGACTCAGAAAGTGTGGGGGGGTGTTTGTTCAGGAACCATCTCAGCAGCTGCTGACCCCACAGGGACCCAGAGGATGCCTGACACCCACCTGGCAAGCTTGTGCACAAGCAGAAGACACCCCCAGACACCAGCACGCACCCACATACATCCAAAGGCACATTCATTTGTACACGTGTCCCAACCCGTGACTTCCAGAGGGGCCTGCGCACACACTGTGCCAGCCCAGCCACCCGGACCCCACTAACCTTTCCTTGTCCGGGAGAGAACTGGTGGCAGGCCAGGCGCAGGAGGCCCTACCCCAGGATGTGAGAAGGGACACCAGTGCCTGGAGCAATCACTAGCCACCAAGGGATTACAGCTCACCCATCCCACTGGCCCCTTTGGGACTCGGGGAGCACCACACAGGGCAGAGGGGGCGACCAGGCTCCTCCTTGGCTTAGGACGGGATCTCAACTCCCTCCCCCGTGCCCTCCCAGCCTCGCCCTGGAGGGCACCCTCCTACGGAGACGGGGCTGCTTTGCCCAGGTGGTCCCGGTGCGCGGAGTCTGGACCCTGAGAAGTGGGGGGACGTAGGGGCCGGGGTGGCCTGGGACGCGAATGCGCTGGACACTCCCGGGGTCCCACCGCCCCGGTTGCCCTCGCGCCCCGCCCGGCCCCACG